GCTGCAGCTGCTTTCTGTAGCTCTTGAGCCGGCCCTGCAGCAATTCTCTGCTTTGCTGTGCTCTCTCCGTCAGATGGCTAGGAGAGGGAGGGGTTTTTCTAAACTATCTGAGAAGATCCACCAAAACCTGTGCTATGGTGATCGCAGAGGACTTGAAATCTGACATAGCTACATGATGGCAAAATCCTGGGCCTGCTGAGGGCAGGCATGTACCATTCCACCCACCGTATTTAAATGTCTGTAGGTTTTACTGGTGATTAGTAGGTTTTTCAAATTTTTAGGCCTGCAGAGCTACATAGAGACTGCCTAGAACCCCCCTGCTGAATTATTGATGGGCCGGTATGTTTACAGGGAGAGCTGGAGAGCCACTGACAGGCAACAGATCATTTGTGTGTCCTTGTGTGCTGTCACGCACCCAGCTTCTGATCTTTTTTTTTCTCCCTAGGCCGTCTTAGCCGTGGTTCTTCAGGCCTTGATTCCAAGGTGACAACTGTGAGGAGCAGCCCCAGTCTCCCCAGCACCCCTGGCAACGTGGGATCCCTCACCACCCGCTCGCTCAGCAGCAACAGCCTCCAGAACAGGCCGTGGAAATAAGCAGCGGTGTCTTCTTCCACCGAATAAATGAATGTCCGGGTTCTGGGAAGCCTGAGCAGTGCAGCCTGTTTGTCGTTTTAGGAATCCACAGAGAAAAGGAGCGGTGGTATATAAATGGCACCTTGGGTAAGGCTGGGGGAGCTGGAGCAGTTGATGTTTCGTAGAAGCAGGAACTGTGTCGCTTTGGCAGGGCTGACCTTTAGGGGCAGTGACAGGACAGAGTTGATCTAACTGATTTTTGTAGCGAAGGGAGGAAACTGGTAGTAAAGCCTTGTGACCAGTAGAAATGGTTCTGTAAAGCTTGTAGTTTGAGGTGAATGAACTTGTGTCTGTAACACACTCGTCCTGTGCTGTGCCCGGAATCGCAGACTGCGCGAACAGGAGAACACGTGTGAAGGTAAACGGGACAGAAATCATCTGTGAGCAAAAAACGCTGGTGTTCTGTAGCAGAGATACAGACATGCAGCAACTTGCCAAAACGTTGGAGAGAGGATTCCCTACGGGGTTTTTTTTAACTATGTTAATGAACGGAAGTATTTGTAATAAAGATGTTTTTGGAAATAACGCCCAGCGTGGCACTGTAACCTGGCAGTTGTGTTTACTCATGGACAGTTTGTGAAAGAGTTCTGTGTTTTTAAAGGTGAGCTGCGGGAGAAAATAACTGTCTCTTCCCTCTTTTCTCCCTTACTGTGTGGAAGGTTTGGCTTCTAACTGTGCTTTTGCTGCTTTGTTCCTTGCTGTGGTTAGAGAGAGCTACTGCGTGGTGGGTTTTGTTCCAGATGAGAGAGTCAGGCTGCCAGATGTGCTGAGCAGGGTTTTTAGCTGACATGTCTTAGGGCAGAATCATCTGCTGTGCCCCTCTTCTTGGTGTGCCAGCAGGGTGTCTCCTTAGTTCGACTGCGCACCGGTGGTTTGCTGCTTTTCCCACTTGCCGGAGCGGGTTGCTGGTCACTGGTGCTGCAGAAAACTACGACGTCCATGGAGGAGCCACTCACTCTTCTGCTGACGAGGCTGACTTCCCTAACGGTTGTACAGGCAGCTGCGAGTCGAGGTTAGGAGGCAGAAGGTCATTTTGCTTCTAAAATGCTTTTGTGGTGCTTGGAGACAAACTGCAGCAAGGAGTTCTGCAGTTCCAGTGCCTGACAGAGGCTGGAAATTTATTCCCAGTTACACCCTTGCCAGTGTTTTTGGAGTAGCTTCTTTACAGTTAGGGCAGCTGAAAGGAAATTTTCTTCTGCCCTCTTGCGAGGGTCACTAAAACCTAGCAGGGACAATGAATCTGGTAACTGGACAGGGTGTGAAGAGAGAGTCCAGTGGAGGGCTACGAGGATGAGGAGGGGCCTGGAGCATCTCTCCTACGAGGAGAGGCTGAGGGAGCTGGGCTTGTTCAGCCTGAAGAAGAGAAGGCTGAGAGGGGACCTTTGAAATGCCTCTAAATATCTGCAGGGTGGGTGTCAGGAGGATGGGGCCAGACTCTTTCCAGTGGTGCCCAGCGACAGGACAAGGGGC